CAAGTGTGTTGCAGGATTCTAAGGGGAAAGGGTTGTCAATTTGGAACCTTTAACAAGAAAACTTTTGTCCTAGTGGTGTATTTGCCTACATTGATCCCTGAAACCACCCCAATGTCGGTGAATTATGGCTTACATGGAGTGTCTGGGTATTGACGAAAACAAACATATCAGCTACAAATCTTTGGTCACACAGCAAGCAAGGCTATTTGAAGCTACTAGTAACAAGGGCATCGCTACTAGCAACAATGACAAGGGCATCCCTACCAGCAACAAGGGCATCGCTACTAGTAGCTTCTTGCTACTAGCTTCTAGCTACTAGTAGCCATGCACTTGTTCCTAGTAGCGATGCACTTGTTACTAGTAGCTTCTAGCTACTAGTAGTAATGCCCTTGCTACTAGTAGCGATGCCCTTGTGTTGGAGTCAAACAGGGTTTCAGCTTTTGGGCTCAGTCGACAGAAGCTGCTCAGCTGCTCCGGTCGACGATTTAAAAGGAAGAACTCCCACACTACAATACAACCAAATGCAAACAACACGTGGGTTATAACACGGGGACCTCCCAACCAATGGATTTGTATAACTAGTCTGTTGTTGATTTTCCCAGAGGTCTTTGTGGTGTCTCCCTATTCCTTGCTACACACCCACTTGGCTTGTGGGGTACCCTCAGGGCAAGATCTTGCAATGGAAACCATCTAAGGTGCAACGTGATGCAACCGTGGCACCGCAGCTGTCACTATCGAGCCAATCAAGAAGGGCGCCGACCTGTCAGATTGAATCCGATGAAACGAGCAAGTTCCTGGGAACCTCTTCCAATGCTTGTGATGTCATATGTTTGGTTGGTTTTCTCGGTTGCCCCAATGTGCCTCTATACTCTTTATGTCCAAATACTCTGTGTATTTAATTGTATTTATATATATATATATATGTCCAACTTCATCCAAAATCTATATAGAAGGCCACATGGGTTGTTGCCAAAGAGAGTGTGGACAGGTGTGAGTCTTCATGCCGCATGTGTCAACGGGAATCATGCGATGATATGCGTGAAGTTTCAAGTGGATGCAATGACACGCTTGCAGAGACCTGCACGAACAGTTTCGAATCCAGAACATTTGAGTCCACAACCCAGGCACCATGCACGTGAGGTTACACTTGAACAACGTGTCTAAATAGACCCTTGCTACCGGTCGTCACCTCACTTGTCTTTCCGTGCGGACCGAGCTGAAGCACTGAGCTTCACACCACGTCGCCTGGACGGCCAAAGCCGGGGACATCCAGCAAGCAACCTCGCGGCGGTGGCGTCGACGTCGATGAAGAGATCATCGACACTTCGGAACAGCTTCCGACCTTCTCCCACCAGTTCTCCATCGGAGGAATATCCCAGCATTCGACGCCTCAGCACCAACGACGGGGTGCACTGCTTCCTTGAGGGGTCCCAGCTGTTCGCGGCTTCCGCGGGCAGAGCCGGCACCAACGCCCGCAAAACGGCACAAACGTTGCTCCGCAGAAGGCTCGCTCTGGGCCACCAAACGCCGCACTTCGACCGCTGCTACCAACAACAGAGGGAAGCACTAAGGCCTTGGTCCAAAGGTCCGAGCGAGCAAAACAGTGATGGCAGGAGATGGCAGGAGATCGGCATTCACGTGCTGAGACGTTGGCTGGACTCCAACCCACCATGAGAGAACAGGCACACCGAAGCTCAACCTATCCACTGCACATCACTGAGCTATCGAAGATCAACATGAGGGACATGGATGCCAAGAGTCCATGCTCCAATGGTTTCGTGAAGCATGGGTCACGTCTTTGAGCACGCGCTCGATCGCAACGTTCAATGGATTGGTTTAAGGGAACATCTACCGGAAACCATGGTGTTCACCCCCAAAACTATGGGTTTCCTTAGAGTGTCCCTTAAACTATTTCTGGGAAACGTCTATATAGAGTCTATGAAGATCCGCTGCATACCCACAATCATCCATCAGTGCAGTGCCTCGTACTGGTATCTGCCACCAGCAACAAGGGGGAGGCCCTTGATGCCGCCGGATGCAGGTGTGCTTGGTCCGGATGAGGATGGGTCACACCTGAGAAACAGGAACAAGTAAAGAAAAATTAGAACACCTCGTATATACTCAAGAAATGGCTGCTAAAACCTCCAACTGTACAGGCTCTCAGACTGGCGCTGCGCCCGCAGGCCATCGGCAGACACTTCGATGCCTAGTGCCGGTTCAAGTCAACAAATCAGATCCCGACGGTTTCAGCTTTACGTGGTGGTTCCAAACCATGGGAAGGGCAGGCGGTGATCACCCCTTGACAAACCATGTTCTTTGTGCTATCATGGTGCTCATATCGCACTTTGCAGGTGAACACCTGCATCGCACTTTGCAGGTGTTGACCAAGAAATGGCATCAAGTGGCTTCCTTCCATTAGAACCTGAAGGGCTCAACTGACTGTTCTTCTAGATCAAATACATCAAAGCAAACTGCCAAGATCCTCAAAGTGCTCTGGATTATGTTTGAGCTGGCTGAACACCTGGGTGTTAGTTCCTCGCATTTTTCCTCAAATTCATGCTTTGTGGCAAAGCATGTTGAACGACTTTTGGATGATCTCCGACATAAAAACAAGATTGTGCTGTTCATTGCTGTTCAAACCATCTATTGCCAGCTCTGGCAGCGCACTAATGTCGCACATGAGTGAATATTAATGTCACTAATGTCACGATGCCAAGACCATTGCTTTCCGCCGGATTCTTGGGCCTACTCACCGCCAGGTCAAGACCGGCAGGTTTCAAAACCAGAAACAGTTCACGCGTGACGCATCCAAACTGGAGTCTCTGAGGTCCAAACACTCATCCTTTTGGAGCAAATTGAAGCAGCAGGAGCCATGGTTCTCCAGCGTGGCCTAAAGAACCAGCATCTTTCGCTCTCCAGGTAGACTGTTGATGGAAAAAAGTCACCAGAATGGTAAAACATCATCAACCTCTCGTCCATATATATGAGGTTTATGGTTTAGTATTAATCCTGCCTCAAATCGCTTCGCCAAAGCTCGGATGTTGGGCTCCGACTTCTGCTTCCTCGGCCGGAAGCGACCCGTCACACACGCGCCGCTGGGGCTACCAGGGGCTCGGACCGTGGACCCAAAGCCTCCTCTTCTTGCAGCTTGCGGTGCCAGGCCGCCTGAGGCGATCCGGCACCGAACAGCCGCGCGCGATCCGCGAGAAGTGTCGCTGAAGGGCTCGGCGACGGTCCGTCATGGTCCGTCTAAACGAAGTTCGATCTGTCCAAGTGTGGGGATCAAGACTGATCAGGTGGGGATAGGTCCAAAACCGACACCTTTGCTACACCGAATCGCGCCCTGTGCAGTCGTTCTCCCATCCAGGTCTGTCTCCTGTCTCTTGCTGGTGCCGTCTCCCGCCCACCCGCCTTGATCTCCTTCCACCGGGCGAGTTCCATTCTGCGTCGCTTTTCATGAGGTGGCAGGTATCGCCTAACTGTTCATCCGCCAGCGCATGCGCATTCGAAGGAACAAGAACTGCTGCTCGAACTGCTCATCCGCCAATTATTAAGAAAAAGACATGCGTCCGATCCCTCCCAGTCTCCGGCAATTGAACAGCTCCCAAGCTCGAAGACGTGCCCTTCCTCTTCTCACCAACCTGAAAGAAAGTATCAACAAAGAGGAAACCAAAAAGCCGCCGGGAAGTGTCGTCTTTTTCAGACCTTCTACCGTCCTCCCATCCTTTCCCATCCTACCACTCCACTGTGTGGGTTCAGTGGCCACATGACACCATGGCACAGGTAGTACAAACGAAGGCACAGGAGCTGTACATGATGTACAAACTCGCGCAGGATGTGTCAGCATACCTTGTGTTTTTGAGTGTACAGTTCGAAGGTGTTTTCTCTTCCTGCTGCACTTCATCCATCGTTGTCGTGAAAACGTGCCTGGTACAAACACCAATTGTCATCCACAAACCAAAATACTGCAACAATCTGCAACACAGCACTCCCCGTGGTCTTTCTGTGGACACACTCCTGATGAGGTTTTTGAAGGGTGTGTCCATGTGAGTTGTCATTTTCTTCCTGGTCGCTTTGACGGAGGATCTTTCTGGCGACCGAAGACAGGTCTCACAGTCCATGAACATCGTGGCCTTCGCCCCGTCGGCTGGCACAAGTTGAGGCCGCCTGCAAGACATGGATCCACATTATGTTGGGTTGTCTACAGTGTTTGATTACAGAGAATCCACCTTTCCTTGTGATTTTCCTGGAGAATAACTCAAGAAGTGATAAACCAAAGGTCCAAGCTTGCACAAGGTGTCTGTCTCTGGCCTGCTTCGCAAGCGAGCAACCTGCGACAAATTGCACAGGTGCACAGTATTCCAGCTTTCTGCGATACAGTGCGATATGTTTGGATGACTGTGTGACAAGTAGCAGAGTGCTGTTGTGTTGTGCTAAATTGTGCCAAGTTGCTGCAAGAGTCTGGCTCTTTTCCGGCACCAGTCTAGCTCGCTTGCGCGGAGGTTCCTCTTGCTCCTGAGACAGTTTGACAGTTTAGCAGGCAGGAAGCGACCAATGTCGCATCCAAGCCTTCCTTCGGACAATCATGGAGTATCTATAGAACTTAATAAAGCATGCCTGCAGAATTAGAGAGACTCAAAATAGACTGAATAAGGCAAGGCGAAAATAAGCTACTCCCCCAAAAGTATACAGAATGATAAAGAATAAAGAATAGTAGACTATAGAAGTTTGTGAATAAGCTCGGATTGATGTTCCTCAAAAAGCGATTCATTTGGTGATCAAAACCTCTGGTTTTGCGCGACTTTCGGATCGCTCCAGGCGAAGCTCCTGAGAAATCTCAGCTGCTGGTACCAGTGAAGCTGCCGAGCGAGCGTCCCGGACACTGAGCTGCTCCTTGGCTCGGAGAAGTGGTGGCGACACGTCGCGAGGCGCGGACACGTCGCTCGGCCAGCAGTCTCGGAGACTGCTTCGCGTCAGCAAACACCCAACGGCGTCTTTTTCAACTCTGCATGGAAGGTGTCCTTTTTGGCGCGCGCAGAAGGTTCCTGCGCGGCGGGTTGACGCGCTGGATCTAGCTCGGCGGAGGGAAGCGGAGCTCATGCTTGTAGCCGAAGAGCTTGGTGCTGTCTCCGAAGCCAGAGACTGGGCCGTTCGCACCACCCGCGCCACTGGAGAAGGTGGCACCCAAACCTTCATCCTCAAAGGATTGGAGGATATTGTGTGACGCCTCCAAGAGTCTCTTGGTCTCTAAGCTGCCATAGCTATCCTCCAGATCAGAGAACTTGGAATGCCCTCCGAGCGCAAAGTCCTGGCACTGTGACCACACAACGTAGATGCAGTACACCAACAATAGCACAAGCAGGGACACAAAGACAATGGCGACAATCTCAATGATACCGCAAAGAAATGCTCCCACTGCTTTGGTGTCACCTGGTAAACTGGCGCAAGTCATGGACATACCAAGCTGCACAAGAAGGTAACTGCAAAGCCCTGCTGCCAAAAGCAGGTAGAAAGCATAGGCTGTCAAGGAGATCTCGTCCTTGCGAGTCACACCATGGATGCCAAGACATAGGAAAGGAATGCTTGCGAGGCCAAAGGCAGCGTAGAAGATCTGCATGGGCAAGTCACCTATGGACGAGAAATCTTCTGGGTAGAAGAGCGCTGCGATCGTGCGTACCAGCAGTAGAACTATCAAGGCCACGTTCACGAGAATGACGAGACCAGTTCCAAATCGCAGGCTGCAACCGCAGCAGAACTGGTTGGCAGGTACGCAGTACATCCTGCCTTTCACCCTCACCTCTTTGGGTGCCAAGCTCGAGGGAATTGTTCGGTCTCTGATTTGAATTTGAACGTGAGATATTCGAGCCAAATGACTGTGGAATTGCATCACATGATGCACGAGCTACAACTACCATTCCCTACAATCTCATAATGTTCTCCAGCATGTCAATAAAACTACAAAAAAAACATGTGCAATTATATGCACATAAATTGGTTCTCATCTCGGCACACTGACTTCTCAAATCTTTGTCTCACCTGCACCATCAGTCATCAGTGATAAGTTTTGTTGGCCAAGCGTCACCCACTTCATGATCAGTGGACCTTGGGGCCAATTGTTGCGGATTCATGCAGATGCAAGAAACATTTCATGAGCACGAAAAGATAGTTACTGTATCATACTGTATCTTGAAAGGCCAATCAGAAAAAGAACAACCTGAGAATCAAACGCATCTTCACAACATGGCTCCATTTCTTCAAGTTCCTCCTCCTCCTCTTCCTCCTCCTCACCCTCTAGAATTTCAACCTCTTGTTGAAGTTTCTCAGAGTCGTATGCCTCCAGATCTTCGAGTTCCTCTTCCAAACCTTCATCAAAGTCTTCGTTTTCGACCACCTGCAGCGTGTTGAACACGAGGCGGTTTCACGGTTGTTTTCGGCTGCACAGAACCTACATCGGTAAGACAATGATCCACACCGATCCGGACCTCCTCCTCCAAACCTTCGTTCCACCATGCCTCACCTTCTTCGATGGCATCCTGAAGCTCGGACCATCGAAAAAGATCCACCAAGCGCTCGGTGTTGAGCCATTGTTGAGCCATCTTAACGAGTCGAGTCTTGAGATGTCCAAAGAAGAGTTAATCCACAAAACACCACAGGCTGACTCAGGTCGGACCCCACAGGCTGACTCAGGTGTTCCATCATTTGTCCATGTCCAAAAAGCCGCCAAGGTCACTATATGTGTGGCCCACACAGGTGTTCCGCAGGTCTGCTGCATTCAGCGGGCGCCAGGAATTCCGAAGTCCCCAAGATGCGGCGACCTGCATGGTCTTCTCCATGAAGCTGAAGCTTTCTGCGTCGACCATGTCCCCCATACCAAGCTCTTCCTCGCTGCCAAGTGGGGAACGAAGAGAAGAGACGAAAAGAACATACACTGTGATCTATACACATTGATCTCAAAGTAGATCATATACAGTAATATAGTCATAGACTCAACATGACTCAACAGGATAGCATCAAGTCACCAAACAAGTTCGTCCTGCATCCGTCGCACCCGTCTCTTGACCCTCTTTCTCAGCCGGCGTGCCTTTCAGGGTTTCAGGGAGTATTCCTTCCACTGGCATTCTGACTGTCACACTGCATGCCGAGTGTACTGCCAGCCTGTCTGACTTAAGACTATTTCAGAAACATCCGAAACATGCTACAGTATGCTACAGGAATCACATGGAATCACTACCATAGGAAGACCCGTGACCGCTGCCGACGAAAATCTCTCCATGGTCCAGATTGCTCGATGAAAAACATCGCCTCTTTCCCTCTCTCACTCTGCTCTTCGGCTCCCTCCAGGCCCGCCGACGCAGGGCCTCCCCGTCCAAAAAGAAAAAATGCGTGGCAAACTTCGGGAGTCAAACATCAAAAGAAAAGCGGCCAAAATCTGCTGCGGTCCTTTACTATGTATAATTTTAGCATACTAATCGTATAGCTGTTCAATTTGTAGTAGCAGCATTCCATAGCCGAAGAGAGTCTCCACCTGAAGCGAGCAAAAAGATCATAAAGGATGACAAGGCCTTGGCCATTCTCGAGTTTCACCTCATCCTCAATGATCAGTGTCCTCAGTTCTGCCGCACAAACCGTCCGTTCACCTGAGGGAACAGGAACTATAAAGAGCAGTTCTGCGCCGCTAGATGAGCCATTCAAAACTCCAAAGAAGTGCCCACAGAAACCAGTCTTCCTAACGTGCTGAAACCCCTGTTGCGATGATTCCCGATGATCATGATCCAAACCCTAATAAAACAAGCAAACACTTGTGTTGCAGCGCAGAATGACACTTCCAGCGTGAGATCGACAAGACCCAAAAACACAAGGCTATGTACATCGCACGTACCGGACACCGCTGGTCAACTATCGTTGGTCGCTATGTCATCACCGTGCTTTCACCGCCTGGCGCGCGGGAACTTCCACGGGGCAGCATGGGCTCTGAGGGTCCAGCTCGCCACGTGACCATGCTTCCAGGACATCAGCATCTCTCAGCCATGATTCTGGCCTCTAAATGCCGATCGGAGGATAAGGCGACCAGCCACTCAATCGGCCGTTCGTTCCTGGACCCTGGAGGTCGTCACGATGTGTATATACGTATGTGTGTGTGCATCATTGTGCATACTCCATCATACACACACACCATTGTTACCAGATGCTTATATAACCTACTACAACGTTGACCGTGTATATATATATATATATTTATTTATTTATATTATACATATCCCCCATGAATGCTAGGTCTTGGGCTGGGTGTCTACCCAAGCATTTTGCAGGGACATGGTGTCTAGAAAATGAGGAGGCTAGGGATATGAAATGATATAAGGTCTAAACATGATACACTAGGTGCCATCTACAACAAGGGTTCTTGGCTTAGCCCCACGCTATCCACAACAGGGGTTCTTGGCTTAGCCCCTTGCCATACATGACAGGGGTTCTTGGCTTAGCCCCCACCATTCACGACAGGGTTCTTGGCTTAGCCCCACGCTATCCACAACAGGGGTTCTTGGCTCAGCCCCGCGCCATACACGACAGGGGTTCTTGGCTTAGCCCCACGCCATCCACGAGAGGAGACAGAGAGACGGACACAGGCGCCTCCAGGAAGAGAAGGCACAGGGCGAGAAAAACAGGCACAGATGGGGCGAAGAGGAGGCCTAACGATTGCTCAAGCCAGTGTGGGGCCTTCCCAGCAGGCAAGCAGGGAGCGGTCAGGAAACCTGCTCTTCAGAAGCCTGCACTCACGATGAGCTTGGCTGCTAGCTGGACCTGCTCTTTTTGTGGCTTAGGCGGCCGGGCTCACAGGTCAAGCAAACATTTAACCCGTTGGGGACATTACCGAGTCCCTTGATTTTAATACCCTACTGGGGGTTTGTTGGTCACCGGTTGGGCCGGTTGGGGGTATGCTTCGTCCGGCGCCATTGCCCGATTGACTTTTAACACAAATGTTCAATAACGTATGGGTTTCTATAGATTTGAGTGTCCCCATTGATAATCCGAAAGCCAGATACTCTCTTTAAAATCAGTGCCCAAAGCCCACTTAATAGAGGACAACGATCACCATTTTTGGGGGGGCATGGTTCAGGGGGATGTATGTATGTAGGTATGCAAGTAGGGATGTATGTATGTATGTATTTTTTTCTCCTAAAGTGTCTGTTGTTTCTGGTGAACGAAGGGCTCATTGGCCAGCTGCACTGCAGGCCGCCGGCCATGGGGAAACCGCTGCTAGAAAAAGTCCACCTGGTAGTCTTTGGTCTCAGCAGAGAATTTGAGCTTCTTGGGAGCAGGTGGTGAGAACCCGTCATGGGCCTTCGAGGTCTCGGGCGGCGTGCTTGGTGCTGGCTGGGTATCACGGCCGGCTGTGGTTTGGCTTGCCTTGGTTTGGGAGCTAAAGAGCTGAACCAACGTGGGAGAGGTTTGACTCTGTCCCTTGCATTCTTTTCTCAGCCCTTTGGTCATTACGACCCTGTGTGCCTCATCCAAGTGACTTTGAATGCCGCAATTGCGGCGCTTGATGCTCTTGCCTTTTTGCCACAAACTGTGTGTCTGGTGGCCGTCATGGGTCTTGGAGTAGGCCTCATCGATGCACCTGCTTTGCACGAAGCCATTGAAGAGGGCTTCATTTGTGGACAGAAAGGCTGCATTTGTTGCACTTGAGATAGCCGGTTGTCTCTTGGAAAGCGTGCTCATCTGCCGCCTGGGGATGCTTCTTTTGGATGGCCAGGAGCCGTGCAATGGTGCTGGCTCTGGTGGTTTTCTTCCCAATCGCTCTTTGTTCCGGGAGATCTGATTCCGGCGCTTCATGGACAAGAAGCTCACAGTCTTCCTTGAGCCGGAGTTCAACCACCTCAACTGTCAGTGCTTGGTGGACCCTTATCTGGCATGTGTGGCATTGGAAACCGCTTCAGGCGGCATTGGTTGATCAACCGCTTCTTGTATTCTTTGGTGGTGTGCCCTGCCCTCCGGACCGGCTTGTCATGTATGTAGTGTTGTCGGTCCTTGTAGATCTTTTCGAGGCGTGCTGCTGCATGTTTGTAGACCTGCATGTGGTCTTGGTCTAGGAGTCTAGGGTGCGTCGCCAAGCCTCTGCATGTTGATCATGTATCGTGTTGGCCCGTTCCCAAGCTGCTAGGGCTGCATCTCGTTGTCGTTGTCTCAAGTCAGGCTCACTGCCTGGTGCATCTGGGGTCCTCTGACTTTTGTGGATATACAGAGGTGTGATGCGGCGGAAGAGCTCCTCTGCCAAACCCTGAACTTGGTCACTGAAGCCCTTCCGTTTCCTGGGATTGGTCCAAGCCTCCCAGACAGACCCCAGTTGGACAATCACATTGACCGGGGTGAGAACATACTGGGCAAGGGTGAGGAGGCCTTGGAAAAGCGCTCTGGCCTTGGTTTGCGGGCCTGGAGGCATGCCGGTGATTGTGCCTTTGCGGATCAAGGTTCCCATGGAGAAGGTGTGGATGCAAAGGGCAAAGACCCGTGCTTGGGACCGCTTGTCGGAGGGTGTGGCATCCAAGGTGACTGCTAGTCCTTGCCAGGGCTGGAGAGGGAGAGGCTCTATGTATGTATGTATGTATGTATGTATGGATGGATGCATGCATGTAATATAATATAGTAAATGTAACATAAAATACATATATATATATAGTTATATTAACATACGTTTTATATTATCATTCTGAATCATTATCTTCATATTGCACCGACTCTTCACTCAGCTCACGTCGCGGTCTCGGAGCTGGGGAACCATGCATGGAAACGTTCTCCACGTCCTCAATCCCCTGGCGCCAACGGTTGGTCCCCCGAGGCGAGGCCTCCCAAACGACCCGTTCACCGTTAAAAACCTCTGGAAGAAGAACACGCACTGAACAAGATGGACCCCGTGGACATGAACGGAAGGCGCCTCAGCTTCCAGGTCCACAGCCTCTTTTTCAAGTTTCTTTCTGTTGTGTCTGAGGCTTCCATTGCGTTTGCCTGACGACGAGGGCACCAAGTCGCTTGGAAAATAGTTGGGAAAGGACTCA